TGGATATCCATCAACTTCCCAAACAGAAGAAAATGTTGACTCTGTGAATTTGGAGTTTGTTCTACCAGGTCAGACCGCTAATCAAGCTTATCTATTGGAGGATCTGAAACAATTGTATAACAGTGTGTGACAAGACCTGATTTGTGGCAGATGGGGGACTGGTTTTCCCACCATGACAGTGCATCTGCTCATGCAGCCATCTCAGTGCCAATTTTGGGCAAAAAACAGCATGCTTCTCTTGCCCCACATACCTGACTCACCTGACCTCACTCCATGAGACTTCTTTTTGTTTCTGCAAATGAAGAGGAACATGAAAGGACAGCGATTTGACTACATAGAAGAGGTAAAGAAAAAAATGAGGGAGGTGTCAGCCTTCCAAATAGACAAGTTTGACAAATATTTCCAAGAATGGAATCGCAAATTTGACAAATGTATTAAGTTTAATGGAGAGTACTTTGAAAGTGATAATGTTATTTTGTAAAAATATTTAAATACATAGCTTTGGGGGGGAAATTCCTTTTTTTTTTCGGGGGGTGCCCCCTTGTATAATTCACATATCATCCAATTCAGTGGTTTAATCACATTAAAAAGTTGTGTAATCAACACCACAGTCAATTTTAGAACATTTTCTTTTTTTTCTTGCAATCATTTGATAATGTCTTTTGATGCACATCAATGTCATATATTTAGGAAGTTCCATCATTTTTTGGGTGGGGGTCTTCTCTATTTTATGTGTCTTCATTATGTTTGGTGGTATGTTTATGGCTTGTATTAGGGGCCTTCAATCTGTCCTTTTTCATTGATGCTATTTATATTTCTAGGGCTTATATTTATGTCTTTAATCCATCTTGAGTTCACTTTTGATCATGTGTTTTCCAGCACTATTTATTGAAAAGACTGTCTCTTCTCTTCTTCATTTACCATGTTTCCGTTCTTTATCATAAACCAGGTTTCTGTGGGTGCTTGGTTTTATTTCTGAGTTCTCTATTCTGATCCATTGGTCTACATATCGACCATTATACAAATACCAAGCTGGTTTGATTACCCTGCATATGAAATAGGTTTTAAAATAAGGGAGTGAGAGGTCTTTCATTTTGTTTGTTTTTGATTTTAGCACTGATTTTCTTATGCTAGATTTCTTTTCTTTCTATATAATGTTGGAAATTCATTTTTCCATTTGTTTGAAGAATAGTTATAGTTACGTTTATTGTGCCACCTAGACCTCCATAGGAACATGTGGGTGGAGTTTAATCAGGCTGCAGCTAGATTGGAGGGTGACTGAGATAAATACTTTCCATGGCCAGCAACCTTTTGCTACCTGGTGATTTGACCAGTGTGTTGCTGCTTAAGCTAGTTCTTTGCCTCAACCACGTGCTTCACTACCTGTGGGCCAAGCTAACCCATGAGGCTCCTTCAAGACCTGCTTCCCCGTGCTGCTGGTGAGGACATCTCTTGAGTTTGAAGTTGTTGGATCGATTGTGTTGCTGTGTGTACATTGTGGCACCTGCTTTGCTAAGCTCCAGAAGCTACTGACTTGTGCTGCCCCCACCCTGATGTTTATTGCCTGGAGGGAGACTCCCTTTTTCTGCTTCCTTCATCTTAGACTGGCAGCCTGCTTGAGTTGATAGACTTTGAGTATATTAACTGAAAGTGAGTTGAACTGAGCTCTCTGTACTGCTGAGTAGACTAATTCTTGCTATACAAACCTATATATATATATATATAATCGTAAGCGTCCTGGTTTTGTTTCTCCACAGGACCCTGCCTGACACAATAGTGCTAGAGTTTCTATTGGAATTATATTTATAGATTGCTTTAAGTAATATTGACATTTTTTTACAATAATAAGGCTTTCAATCCAAGAACATGGAACATTCTTCCATTTTTGTAGATCTCTTTTGGTTTTATTGTGATACTGCCCATTTCTTGTTTCTAATATTTGCTTTATTTTCTAATCTTTTCTTTATTTTCCTTTGTTAAATTTGACAGTAATTTGTCAAATTTGTTAGTCCTTTCAAATCACCAACTTCTTCTTGATTTTTCTGTATCTTTTAATTCTGTTTTTCCATGAACTTTTTGAAGCCCCCTGTGTATTTTGTAGAGAACTTTGATAATTTTCCAGAAATACTGATTAATCCAGTTTGTGTCAAAGGCAAAATGGATGGAGAGCAGTGCACATTGGGCCTAGTATCTACCCTGGCACAAGACAAAGCTGGCAGACAGGTCAGAGTTTGCAGAGTGAATGCTTTCATGTGGCTGGTTAGATTGGTTGTGGAGGGAGCCTGAGATGATCAAGAGAAGAAATCAAGATTTTACAAAAGCTTTGATAAAACAGGTTAGTTATAATGAAGAATCCTGGAATGAAAACCATACAAAATAATGTGATGCTGTGATGTGGTAGCATCAGAAGTCAAGATTAACCCAATGCCAATTCCTATGAGGAGATGGTCCGATAGGAAAATACACTTCCATTCTCCAGCAGGAGACAAATCTGACATGAGCCGTCCCTCCCTTGGCACACTCTACGCCGCTTCTCTGCTGATTTTGAGAATTCACTGCCACACAGAACACTCAGACCATACTCACAATTAGGTAATTTACTATTAGGGAAGAAGCAGGTTAAAATTCAGGATCGAAATAATCTTGTAAATAATCAGAATTACTCAAGAGATAGGCTACAGTTCATCAATCAGGACAGTTTCCAACCAAGAATTCCTATCTCCTTCTCCATCAAATCCAAATATACACAGCACTCGTGCCTCTGCCCTGCTGGGGCAAGTGTTACAGGTCCCTAGATTTGCTAGTAAGTGTCCAGAGGCATCCTACTCCACCAGGAAGTCTCCTGACCAAGGGCACTGAGTGCTCTTATTGATGGGTCCACAAGTCAGCTGCAGCTCTCTGCTGGTTCCTTGTCTCTGTCCTTTCATGCTGCCTTCTGGAATCTAAGGAGTTCTCTCCATAAGAACTCTGGGCCCAATACAAGCTCCACTCCTGATGTTTCTTAAGGCTAGGGAGGCCTCCCCCACCCCTCAAACTGTGAGGTAGCTTTTTTCAAGCTTAGCAAGATAGCAGAACTGATTAATCCTCAACTGAATGCCATCAAGTTGATTCTAGTTCATAGTGGCCCTAAAGGACAGCATAGAACTGCTTCTTAGATTTTTCTGAGGCTCTTTAAGGGAGTAGATAGCCTCAGCTTTCTTGCTTGAAATGACTGGTAGGTTTGAACCATTGTTCTTGTGTTTAACAATTGGATGCAGACCCCACTGTGCTACTGGGGCTCCACTGCCACCTTATTTACCCAGTCTTAACGAATCGTTTTGTGGGAGTTTTAAGATAATGTCCAGAAGTGCCTTATAAAAAGAGAAACAGTTGCCCTGCAAATAGCTCTTTGAATATCGGTATAATTTAGGTCTATAACCTATCTATAAAAAAATAGTATCAGTAAGAGTTTACTTTAAGATAAAAGGATGTACAATATATCAAACATTTTCATGATGCTGATACATTATTCTTAGTTTAAGATAAAAGGCACTTCATAATAAATATGCAGACTCAATCATTTATCAAAGCCCTGTTAATTTAGGTAGTTAATAAAAGGTGTTACCACTATGACTCAGGTTTGGAGGATTTCTGTTTTATGTGTATTTCTCCTCAATTAAACATATACTTTAAACCAAACAATAGGCATTCTATTGGATTCAAGGATTTTATTGGGGCTACTCTTGCATTTGAAGTGGGCCTTAACCTTTGAGATTTTTGACACGGATGTGATTTCATTATAGAGAGTGATTTAGAATCCATTTATGAGCCATGCAGCTGAGAAGATTTTAGATACGACAGCTTCTGGGCATGACAGTGTGCACCTTTCTCAGGGGTTGAACCTTCATGAGCTAAATTATGGAGTTCTTACAGGCACACAGCTTTCCTGTCAAGAACTGTGGGGCATGTAAAATGGATTTCTGATTGATAGTAGGGCACATAGAGTTTAAAACCCACATTTTTAAAGTTAAGACTGGTTAACCTTGTACAATACTATAACATGGTGCTTTGGAATTAGAAGCACAGAGCAGTAACATTTGCTGCCAAAAGGGCGATATTTATTAACTCAACAAAGCCATAAGGAGAAGGAGTTGAAAGCCAGAACACAGTTTTTCATCTTGCGAATCATTTTTGATTTTCACCCTCAGATGCCCCACAGAACCCTGGATTTGGGTGATGGTGGTTGTTACTGGACATGCTAATCCATCCCACACAAATTGAAAGGTTATGAATTTTTTATCACTGCATTCTGGCCTGAAAGTTAACCGTAAATATTTATAAATCCCTTCTTCCCAATACATATACAGTAAAGGTAAACAAAAATGAAAAGAATTGAAGACAATAGCGTTTTGACTTGTTCTCTGCCGTTTGATATACATGACTCAGAAGGGAAGAAGTTGTATTCTTTAGCCCAAGAGAGTAGGGGCTCTGAACTGTAGATGTTATTTTAGGATAGGTAAACCTTTTCCAGTCAAAGTGGCTTGAAATAAACAATTTTAATGCTAGTGGCTCTGTTGAATTTATAAAAAACATAAACTATAGGCAATTTAAATTTAGCCTTAATCTCATCCCAAGCCTTTGAATCTGAAGACAGCTAAGAGATACTAGACTGTTCTGTGAGTAAAAGGTACTTTATCTGACAAGACAGAAGAGAAGAAATATGCTTTCTTGTGCTTATTGTTGGAGCCTTGTTATTACTCTACGAGTTACTTTTTCATGGGTTGGAAAACTGTCACATCATCTTGCTTCATAAGCCTATAGAATCTATAAGAAAAGATATATAATAATATTAACTATTATTTTTCTGTTTAAAGGTGCGCTCCTCATTAATGTTTGCTTAAAATAATTTTCTTTAAAAAAAATATCTATGTAAAGAGCAAAATTTTGATCCTAAATATCCACTGTCAATGTCACAATAAAGCCAAACTTAACCACCCTAAATGGATTTGATTTTCTTTCAGAATTCATTTTGGAATGAAAGGCTCTGTCATGGTTAATCCACGTGGGTCCAGAAATACAAAAGGTCTTTCTCCTGTTTTTGAAGTGCAGCTCACCAAAGATTTGATTTGTTTCTTTGATTCATCTGTAGAACTCAGGTAACAATAAAATAATATAAAATTCCTTCCACAGCAAAACTCTGAACAGTAGGTAGAATCTCCCAGCTTGGTTTGGTTTGCCACACATGTTAAAAACTAAATAAAAAAGGTGGCTTACAGTCATACAACCGCAATTAATAAAACCTCAGATAATCTCATGTGTTCGGGTCTTCTTTAGCCTGCAGAATTCTATGCTCTGATTAACCTAAATGACGCTTTGTGAAAGAGTTAGGATTTATATGTTTTCTATTCCTTTCTACAGAAACTCAATGGAGAGCCAACAGAGAATAAGAATGATGGAGGGATTAGATGTATGTTCACCTAAATTTAGTTTTTCCAGAGCACAAAGTCAAGTTAAAAAGCAACAAGGTCGGATGCTATGTGATGTGTTACTGGATCAGAGAGTGTTGCCTGGGGTGGGAAACATCATCAAGAACGAAGCTCTCTTTGACACTGGTCTTCACCCAGCTGTGAAAGTATGTTCCACGGGTTTTAAACAGGGTTTGCTTTTTTTTTTTTTAAGTAGAGGGAGGGGAACAACGTGGAGCTTTTACATCTGTTTGATAGTAATAACATATTCTTCCCAAAGAAACTTCAAGTCTTGACTGATGTCAACATCTCAATAATGCCAATTTTAAAGTCCCTACTTCATATTGCAATGTGCATCCCTCCTCCACTTCGCACTCCCAATCTTCTCCACGCTGCGTTGCCTTTTATTTCTTTTCTAACACTTACCACCATCAAACATAGCACAGTAATCATTATTATTCTTCATGGAAACCTTTCTTGTCCTAGAGTGCAATCTTTCAAACTGTTTTGTTCACTGATGTATCCCAAGCATGTAGAGCACCGTGCCTGGCACATGGTAGGCATGAAATAGGTATTTGTTGAACATATAAATGAGCTGAGCTCACATGTTCTTTTCCTATTTGGCATATTGAATATGCCCGAACACGCATGTTTTCCTTGTTACAGCTCTTAATGGCATTACAAAGTGCAATTTCGGTGGACTGATAAGACTAGAAGCCAGGTAACAGGGAATGTGAAATAAATGATCAGCGAGGACAGAAACAGAATTGCGTGCACTTGTACAAACAGCTTGGAGTAGAGTGAAAGGAGAATAATGGACAGCTAGAGGGTGATGTCAGGACAAGGAATGGATTTTTGTTTTTGTTTTAGCTTCTTGTTTTTCAACTGAAGGAGCTTCAACTTATTTATATTTTGTGAAGGGAAAGTACATTGATAGAGAGGAAGGGCTTGAAGCTGTAGAAAAGAAAGTAATGATTAATAGGACAAAACATGTTGAGTAGACCAAGTGTTTAGAAGCCAAGAGAGAGTAGGCATATATTTTAGTTTAAAATAAAAAAACACAAGATTTTATCTAGATCTGAATAGCCTCTACTAACTAAATTTGTCCCACCCATCAATCTAATGTCACCTTCTTTATTTTATATGGCTACTTCTTTGAGGTTGTTGTTAACGCGGAAAAAGAAAGAAGCCACAAACAAACAACAACAAAACAAAAATCTATTGCCGTCAAGTCAAATCTTGACTCATGCTGACCTTAGTGCCGTGACTTAGACTTTGACTCGTGGATACCTCGGGGATAAGAGATCGAAATGGTGCCAGGCTCATATCAATAGGAAGACATTTCCTTGGTAGTCTTCCTAAAATCTAAGTCAATAGAAATTAATATTTAAATAAACCAGTTAATGCTAGTTCTAGATAAAACCAAAACAGACTCACCGCCATGGGCTGTTTCTGACCCTCAATGACCGCTATGGGACATAGACTACTGCCGCTCCTTATTGGAGTAGAAGGCCTCATTGTTCTCTCTCAGAACAGTTGGCGGTTTTGAACTGCTGACCTTGGGGTTAGTAGCCCAACACATAACCCACCTCATTACTAGTGCTCCTTGCTTTTTAGTTCTGCTTTTTACATTTGAGCGTTATAGTCAAATTTCTATAATATGGCAATAATGAAGCAATTTTTACAGAATTCACTTGATCCACTTTGGGAAATGCTTTTAAAAATAGGAGAGTCTCCTTATGTTAGATAAGCTGACTTTACCTTTTATCTGTTTTTCTATCGATCTAGACCTTCCTTTAGCAAAATCTTGTGTAGTCATCGTGCTCTGTTGTCCTTGTGTGCCATGGAATCAGTGCGGCCCACAGCGACCCTACGTACGAGAGAATGAAACACTGCTCGCTCCTCTGCCATTCTCACCATGGCTCTTATGTTCGAACCGCCCAGAGTGCGTGGGCCGTATAAAAAGAATATTTCTCAAAGTTAGCTACTATTGCTTAAAACACACACATTCTGAAAAGTACAGTTTAAGATTCCACAGTATGACTTAATGTACCATATAAGACACAGTACGAAATAAATGTGTTTTAGAGGTATATGGCTTAGGCTTATATTTAATTTCAATATATGACAGTAAATAACTGAGGTATGTATATAATGCTTTTTGACTGGTTAGATTGATTAGATGATTCTGGATCTTATTTAAAAAGACAAATCAAGCTCACTACCATAGACTCAATGCTGACTCATAGCGACCATGAAGGACAGGGTAGAACAGCCCTGGGGAGCTTGCAAGACTAACTCTTAGCAGGAGTAGAAAGCCCTGTCATTCTCCCGCCAAGCAGCGGGTGGTTTTGAACTACAGACCTTACGGATTGCAGCCTTAGACCTAACCACTTTTATAATCACTGATACATTATCTTCTACTATATATCACGATGGATGTATACAAGAAGCCTCTAAAACATTCATGAAAAAAGTTCATTATTTTCCACTTTTTCCCATGAACCTTTTGAAGCCCTTTTATTATCATATACAATGTGAATACAACAGGCAGAATGTCATGGAATTGCTGTTGAAAGCATGTGTGTTGAATGATAATTAATTCTCTATCAATGATAACTATCATTGAGATTTATGCCATGTTTAGGTCACCCCCTCCTATCACCCTCCCCCCCAAAAAACCTTCAATAATGCCTGTTCTTCCATGTGTTAACAAAGACTTTGATATTAATGAATGTATATAAATTCATATATTTAAAAAACTTGACTGTGACCTTTTTGGCCATTTACTCTATCTCTATTCCTTTCCTTTTTGTTTTGTTTTCTTCTTTTTTTACTGAAATTAGAGTTTTCAAGATGGCTGAAAGAAAATGGTGAAAATTTGTAGGTGCCTTATACAGAATAGATATTCAGTTAATATTTGAATTAACTAAAATTATTAATAATTTGTTTCTGTAGTACTACTATTACAACAATTTTTAATTACACTACATAGAAATATGGGAGATAGAATTCTAGGAGGTGTAAAGATATTTTTAAATCTATTTACAATTGCTAACATAACTGGCAACTGTTTGTTTTGTTTTGCTTTGGTTGCTTTTGTTTGCTTGTCTATTTGTTTTGTTTTTAGTAATGAACAGTTCATGAAAATCTCTTCATTTTCCTACTTTAAGGTCAGTTAACAGATGAACAGATCGTTCACCTTGTGAAAATGATACGTGATTTCAGCATTCTGTTTTACAGGGTAAGCCCCAAGTTCTTCATCTATGTAATCTGTCAATGATATCCCTTTTATGGCACCAAAAATGTCAGCGCTCTATATAGCCACCTAGTGGTAAAAGTCGGGAGGTACAATGAAAGAGAATGGCAGGGGCATAATTAACACCTTCAAATTCTTTACATTGTCGGTCAGTTTCAATTAGTCTAACGATAATTTTTAAAATTATCTTCACTTGAATTAGGGAGAAATTTTATTGGTATCTTACTTAGATTCTTGTTCTACAGAAAGCCTATTGAGATAGGACCTATGATTTGGGGTAAATACGAAGATAAGCCCAATGTAAGTATAAGCACAGGCCTGATCACTTTCTATGTGCTTTCTGTTACTTACATCAGTTTACTGAGGTTTAGTTTCTTCATCTCTAAAGTCAGATAGCAATATTTCTCTAGATGTGAATCAAGTAAGTGCATGCTAAAATGTGGATTTTGAATTTTGTTTCAATGCATATAGGGGTGGTGGTGATGGTGTCACTGTGGGGTGCCATCTAGTCCTTTCCAAATCACAGTGACCCAAAGTGCAGCAGGGTGGGACACTGCCTGCTCATGCTCGTGCCTCACACTCGTTCACAGAGTGGAGCCTCTGGTCGCAGCCACTCTGTCAATGCATCTTGTCAAGTACTTTCCTCTTTGTCACTGTCGCTCAAGCGTGATGTACACGACAAAGTCTTCCCATACTTGCTTCTAAGGAGCCGCCTGGAGGTACTTCTGGGACAGGTCTGTTTGTTCTTCTGGCAGTCTATGGCACCTTCAAGATGCTTTGTCGGCACCATAATTCAAATTCACGGGTTCTTCTTTGGTCTTCCCTATACCACGTGCATAGGAGGTGAATGAAAATACCTTAGTCTTCAAGTAATATTCTTGCATTTTTGATGTCTTAACTGTTGTTTCCATTGATTCTGGACTCAAACAATATGAAATCCTTCACAATTTCGATGTTTTTCCATTTAGCATGATGTTATCTATTGGTCCATTTATGATGATTTTTATTTTCTTTACATTATGTTGTAATCCAACTTGCAGGCTCTTCTTCGGAAAGTGTTTTAGTCCTCCTCACTTTCAGCACCAAGGTTGGGTCATCTGCATATTCAAGGTTGTGAGGCCTTCCTCCAACCTGGTGCTGTGTTGTTCTTCATAGAATCCAGCTTCTCTGGTTATTTGCCCAGCATATAGATGAATTAATATGGTGGGAGGATACACCTTTCTTGACTCTAATCTTTGTGGTATTCCCTTTTTCTGTTTGCACACTGCCTTGATCCGTGTACAGGTTCCACAAGAGCTCAATTTGGTGTTCTGGAAACCCTTTTCCTTTCCCTTTGTTCCACAGTTTGTTCAGATCCACACAATGGAATGCCTTTGCTTTGTCAATAAAACACAAGTAAACATGTTTCTGGTATACTTTGCTTTCAGACAAGATCTATCTGACATCAGCAATGATATCCTATGCTCCATGTCCCCTTCTGAATCCAGCCTGAATTTCAAAATACTGCCAAACCAAAGTCGGATGATCTTCCGCAGAATTTTACTGGCATGTGATATCAGTGATATGGTTCTATGATGAGCATTGTGTTGGGTCGCCTGTCTATGGCGTGGGTACACATATGGATTTCACCCTGTTGGTTGACCAAGTAGCTTTCTTCAAAATTCCCTGGCATACATGAGTGAGTGCTTCATCAGCTTGTCGAAACCTTTCAATTGGTATCCCATCAGTTCCTGGAGCCTCTTTTAATCTAACTTCTTCATTACAGCTTAAGCATCAGCCTTCAATGTCATTTGTTCTTGATCATATGCTACTTCTTGAAATGGTCCAGTTCTTGTTGGCATAGTGACTATATTCTTTCCACCTCCTTTCCATACTTCCTGCATAGTTCAATATATTGTCTATAGAATATTTGAATATTACAACCTGTGGCTTACATTTTCACTTCAGTTCTTTCAGCTTTAGATATAATAAGCATGTTCTGCCCTTTTGGTTTTCTTACTGTAGGTTTTTGCACATTTTGTTCTAATATTTTACTTTGTCTTCTTGAACTCCCCTATGAAATTCTGTGTTCAGCTGTCTGACTTCATGGTTTCTTTTATTTGCCTTAGCTACTTTACAATTAAGAAAAAGATTCAGAGTCTCTTCTGACATCCACTTTTGATCTTTTCTTTCTTTCCATTTTTTTGGTAATAACCGTTTGCTCTCTTCAAGAATGATGTTCTTGATGTCCACTCACAGTTCACCAGATCATCTTTCTTTAATGTTCAATGAGTCAAATCTGTTCTTGCAATGCTCTTGAAAATCAGGTGGGATAGACTCAAGGTCCTATTTTGGCTCTTGTGGACTTGTTTTAATTTTGTTGAACTTCATTCAGAACTTACACATGCAAAATTGGTGGTCTGCTAAACTGTCAGCCCCTGGCCACATTTTAGCTGCTGATATTGAGCTACTCCACGGTCCCTTCCCACAGATGTAGTCAATTTGATTTCTGTGTAGTTTATCCAGAAAAGTGCACATGTCTAATCACCATTTGTGTTGTTGAAAAGAGGTTTATACTATCAACAAGTTGTTGGTCTTGAAAAATTCTATCATGTAAACTATAGCTTCATTTTTTCTACAACTAAGGCCATATTTTCCAACTACTGTTTCTTTCTCTTTGTTTCCAACTTTTGCATCCCAGTTACCAAGAATTATCAATAAAACTTTATTGTATATTTTATCAATTTCAGGCTGAAGACATGGGTAAAATTCTTCACTAGCTTTAGTGGTGGGTGCAAAAATTTGAATAATATTTGTATTAACTGGATTTTTTGCGTGTAAATAGAGACTATCCTATCACAGCATTGTACTTCAAGCTAGATCTTGACGTGTCCTGTCTGACGATGAATGTGATACCATTCATCTTGAAGTGGTCATTCTTGGCATAGGAAGTCATAGGACTATCTGATTCAAAATGTCCACCGCAGTCCATTTCAGCACACTGATGCCTAGAATTTCTATCTTTATGAGTTCCATTTCATTTTTGATGAATTCCAATTTTATTAGCTTCAAACTTCATATATTCCATATACCAATTATTAATAGATGTTTGCGGGCTATTTTACCTCATTTTGAGTCATACCCCATTAGCAAATGAAGGTCCCAATAGCATTACTTTATCCAAGTCATTATGGCCAATTCTACTTTGAGAAGGCAGCTGTTCCTCAATCATATTTTGATAAAATGCTTATTCAAAGAGGTCAATAAATACATCTTATCTTTTAAATAAAGTCTCAAATATGTGTCTTCTTTTTCTTCAGTCCATTTTCAATATTCACCATTGTTAGTTTTATTATGTTTAGAAAGTAGATGGTGTTGAGTTCTACATTAAATGCCTAATGTGGTAATGGGCTCAGGCCTAAGTAACTGGGACTGTTTTTAAATGTTATATACTCATTTGTTCTTTCAGAAAAACTATCCAGTTCCTTCCCATACTGAGTTCGGCATTTAGACATTTTACTTAAAATAAAAGAAGTCATTTTTGTAATTTTCAGTACATGTAAGGTGAGTCATATTTCCAGGCTTTTAGATTTTCCCATTGCTGAAGCAAACCCCAAATATCCTTTCATTCAGAGCTTCAAAATTATATAAATAGAATAAAACTTTTACAGGAAATATCAAAATGTCTTTTGAATTAAAAGTGGCTTATGTTTTCTGCTATAATAGCATTTGAATTCTTATTTTCTTTTTTTTTCTTTAGTGAATCTGTAAAATTAAAAAATTAAAACTTGTCCTTTGTCAGGTCAACAAAGAAAATTATCTTATTAAATTTTGTCCTTGGAAATAAAATTTTAGGCAGTCAGAATTGACCATGAGCAGCTTAAGTTTTCAAAAATAATTAGATTTAAAGCTAATCTAGTCTTTTTTATAACCACATAATTATGCATAATTAAAAAAACCTTAAAGCATGAAAGACATTTTAAATTATAGGACCTTTATATCACATTTAGATAAGAGGGGAAAGCTATACAAAGAACAATTTTAAATACTGTTAAGTTATAAAATAATGAGTTAATTATTTCACACAAATCTTATTTGTCCAGTATTGCTGATTGCTGATTCTTATCAATACCTTTTCTCAGTTAAAAGGAGAGATTATGTGCACATAAGTACAAACATATGTACATTTTTAACAGATTACGTTCAGAGATGGCTCTCAATAATATATGCTTGGCTCCTTACCAGTCGTAGTCCAGGATATAATATGCTAATTTCTGAGGATTTTGTTTTGTTTTGTCTTGTTTTAGTGCAATAAAACAGGATCTGCTGTGTCTAAACACTACAAGGTTTATAAGCGTCCTAATTGTGGCCAGTGCTGCTGCAAAATAATTGTGTGTCGTTTAGGAGAGAATAACAGGATGACATATATCTGCCCTCAGTGTCAAAAAGAAAACCCCCAGCTTGTGGATGTGAGGTAAGATCACTTTTGTTTTTGACCCATCTGCTCTAGAATTGACTTGAACTCGGGGGGACCCCCATGGACATCAAAACAGAACTGAGTTTTAGAGTTCTTTCGTGGGTGACTTTTCAGAAGCAAATCACTAGACCTTTCTCCTGGTATCAGGTTTTAAGAGAGATTATTTGCCCCATTTCTCTGTCAAGCATTAATAAGTGAACATAACTAAAAAGTATTTGAGCCCTTGGAAAGAAATAAGAAATAACACCACCAAAGAACCAAGTGGATATGTTTCAGGAGGTATAGACATGTTAAAGATTGAAAAGACACAGCGATCTTCCCCAAACTTGCTTCATTCAGAAGTATTGTTACAAATGATACTCTCAATATCAGCATTTTATAGAATGTATATCTTTTTGGTGAAGCAGCACATTTCATATTAAAAATGTAAGTAACTTCATAAAGTATATGTGACTATTAACCACAATATCCAGTACAGGCATGAAGGACATCAAATACTAGGGGAGATCAATGATGTTTAACCAAGCTTCCTGTGGTTGAGGGAACTCTCAATGGAGTAGAACTGTGCTCCGTGAGTATTTTCGGGGTGCTCCGATGGTTTTCAGTGGTTGACTCTTTTCAGGTAGTTCACCAGGTTGTTCTTCAGAGCTCCGAACTTTTGGCTAATAACTATGAACATTAAGAATTTGCACCATTGAAGGACTCTCAGGGATGTTGGAAGTCCATATACACAAGAGAAGTTTGAAATGTACTTTTAGAAGGGTCTTAGAATGCTGGTTAAATAAATTGTTATTTAATTGAAAAGAATGCACAAGACACAAGGCTTGAATCATTGGTAAACATGGTACGTTGGAGGGATGGTGATAAACCTGGTTAATCCACAGGAAGGTTTCAAGTTGTTAAATAGTAAACCAGAGTTTTACAGGTAAGATAGGCACAACCACAGCTTACTTTTCAGGAAGCCATCCTTCCTCCCGTTCCTCTCAGCTCCTTCCTCCCATGTGCTCTCACTTTTACTGCATGTCAATGAGCTTGTTCTGAGGCAGAGCAGCCCGCCAGGACAGAGTAGAAAAGCCTCCACAGGATTCCGTCGGCTGGAATCTAGAGCAGAGATAAGTAGGTCTTTTCTTCCACGAAGCTATCGGTTGGTTCAGCCACTGATCTTTCATTCATAGAGGTCTGAAATATGGGTAGATCATTCATTCTGTTGTGCACTTTTAAGGTTTTTCTATTCCTCATAGATAAGAACTATTTTTTCATGATATGTTATGTGCCAGTGACCATATGTACAATAGAAATGAGCCTTAACTTCTCCTGCCCCATCCTCACAATTGTTCTTATGTTTGAGCTATTTATTGCAGCCAATTACTGTGTCCATCATCTCATCAAGGACCTGCTCCTTTTTCACTGCCCCTTTATTTACCAAGCATGATGTCCTTCTCCAGGGACTGGCCTCTCAAGACAAAGTCTTGCCATCTTTTCCTCCTTGCCTCTAAAGAGCATATTTTTCATAGTATAGCTATACATTTTTAAAAGTGTTTAAAAGCAATAATAATAATAATAATTAAACTCTTTTTAAAAAAGTATACCCATAATTTTTTTATAGTGTTAAGCTAAGCTTTCACTTTGAGGTGTATGGTCTACCTGACCCAAGTCATGGTACATCAACCAGGAGGTAGTAGTTCAAGCCAAACAAGGGAAGGCCACATGGCTTAGAACCAGGAAAGGTGTGAACCAGAGTTGTATCTGTTCACCATACTTCTTCAGTCTGATACTGTGCAAATAATCCTGGAAGCTGGATTATATGAAGAAGAAAATTGGCACATGGGTGGGAGGGAGACTTTTAACAGCCTGTAAAAATGCCGTTAAATGAATCTTGCTCTCTGAAACGTAAAGGAAACACGAAGCTCTGACTGGTGAAAATCAAAGGCTCCACCCTTCAATATGGATTATGCCTGAACATTAAGACAACAACAAGCCCTCACCTCCAGGCTGGAGCAAAGGCGAATTCTTCGACGACTGGAGCGTCACGGAGATTTTGGAGTTTGTTTTGCGGAGCCCTCGAGGTGGCTCTGACTCGTTGTGAATGTTTGCATCAGACACTGCCGGGTCCTGCGCCTTCCTCACCTGTGCCGTGCGTAGGCCAGGGGGCAGCCCCTGTGTCAGTGCATGTTTGTCCCTGACCTGCTCCTTTTCCAAGCAGGATGACCTTTCCTAGCATCTGGTTTCTGGATAACATGTCCAAAGTTCTTGAGATGAGGTCTCACCACCCTCATTTCAAAGGAGGATTCTGGCTGTGCTTCTTTGAAGAGACACTTGTTTGTTTTGCTGGTGGGACATGCTATTTTTAGTATTCTTTGACAACGCCATAAGTCAAATGCATACATTCTTTTTTTAAAAAATTTAATAAGCCATTGTATTGGGGCTCTTACAGCTCTTATAATAATCCATATATCAATTGTATCAAGCACATTTGTACATATGTCGCCATCAGTATTTCCAAAACATTTTCTTTCTACTTGAGCCCTTAGCAACAGCTCCTCTTTTCCCCACTACCTTCCGCATCCTTGTGAAACCTTGATAATTTATAAATTATTTTTATTTTCATATTTTACCACGTCTACAGTCTCCCATCACCCACATTTCTGTTGTTCGTCCCCCTGGTGGTGGTGGGGGGTGTACATTGATCATTGGGATCGGTTCCCCCTTTCTATCCCTTCTCCTTACCCTCCTGGTATCACTACTCTCATTATTGGTCCTGAGGGGTTTACCTGTCCTGAATTCCATGTGTGGAGAGCTCTTATCTGTACTAGTGTACATGTTCTGGTGTAGCCGGGTTTGTAAGATAGAACTGCAGTCATGACAGTAATGGGGAGGAATCATTCAAGAACCAGGGGAATGTTTTGTGTTTGGTCGGTGCTATCCTGCACCCTGGCTGGTTTGTCCCTTCCTTGTGACCCCTCTGTGAAGGGATGTCCAATTGTCTACAGATGGGCTTTGGGTCTCCATTCAGATCCCTCTCATTCGAATTGAAATGTTGTTTGCTTTGGGTCTTCTGAGGCCTGATACTTGATCCCATCGATACCTTGTGATCACACGGGTTGGTGTGTTTCTTCTATGTGGGCTTTATCAAATGCATGACTTCTTCAGTCCTCCCACTTACACTTGCATATAAGATATCACGGCTGGAGTTAGCTGCACCTTAAGCCTTAACCCAGGGGTCCGGAAACTATGGCCCGCAGGCCACATGGGCCCGCTGAGGACATTTATCTGGCCCGCCTGGTGTTTTTGCCCCTTTTGTTTTTTTACTTCAAAATAAAATATGTGCAGTGTGCAAAGGAATTTGTTCGTAGTTTTTTTTTAAAACTATAGTCCGACCTCCAGCAGTCTGAGGGACGGTGAACTGGCCCCCTGTTTAAAAAGTTTGAGAACCCCTGCTTAACCACTGGGGTTGCTGGGCTTGTTTTGACACCTTCCACATGTACGTGTATATTGTTGTGACACCGAGTCAGTGCTCACTCATAGAGACCCTAAATAAAACAAAATGAAACACTGCCCCGCCTGAAGCCATCTTCATAATTATTATATTTGAGCCCATTGTTGCAGCCGCTGTGGCAATCCATCTTGTTGAGAGCCTTCCTCTTGTACACTCTCCCTTGAGCAAGCACGATGTCCTTCACTAGGGACTGGTCTCTGGACATCATGTCCAAAGTCTGTGAGACAAAATCTCACCATCCCTGCCTCTAAGAAGCATTCTGGGTTAACTTATTCCAGGACAGATTTCTTGGTTCTTTTGACAGCTGTGGTACTCTCGATATTACGGACCACACTGTGAGAGACTGCGTGTGAGAGAGCCCCAGCCCTCTGGTCTCCCTCAGCTGCCTCTGCCTTCCCACCTTTACCAGTTTCTGGATTGCAGCGTGGGGCGCAGCAAGGCTTGAGTGGTCTCAAAGCCTGGGTCGTTATGAGCAAGGAGTGGAACTGTATCTCTTGTTCACATCCCCTACTCTCGCATTTCTGAATGGCACAAAGAGTACGTGCTCTGTTGGCAACCAGGAATTTGTCAGTTCAAACACACCCAATGGCTCCGTGGAAGAAACAGGCCTGGCGGTCCGCAGGGGAGGCAGAGAGAGGAGTGGTGCTACACTGAGGAGCGTGCAGCAAATGAGATGCAACAGAGCGTGTGTACATCATGGAATGCACCAGTCTGCTGGGTAAGCCCTCGGCCGATTCACAGCATAAAATGGAAATACGATTACAGCCAAGTGGTCTAGGGTGTAACATAACTCAAAAGCAACCACCGAGTTGATTCTGATGCAGTGGCCCTGTAGAAAGGAGTTGAATCACTCATGGTGGTTTCCAAGGCTCTAACTTGTTACCGGAGCTGAAAGCTTCATTTTTCTCCAGAGGAGTAGCTGGTGGTTTCAAACCTCTGGCCTCATGGTTACCAGTTCCACACTTAACCTACTCCAGCACTAGGATTCCTTTTTTGTGTTACACATACGAGCTCTTAAATCACAAATCAACAACAACAAAGATTATCTTCAGGAAGTTAAAGACAGAGCCCACATGCCCAGTGATATCATCAGTGCTCATCATCCCTGGAGCCCAAACAGATCAGCGTTGGTGCTGACAGCCGACAGGGTTTCTTAAAACCCCAGGTTGGTTGCAGCCATGGCTGGAGGTCTACTTGCATTCAACACATGCTGTGCCCGGCCCTAGGGGAGCCCACCACGCCCAGGAAGGTGCCTATCTCAGCTTAAGTTTCACTGTAACAAACAAAACCAAACTCACTGCCATGGGGCCCGTGCCGGCCCATAGCGACCCCCTGTGCGTGTCTGAGACTAGAGTTCACGGGAATAGAAAGCCCAATCTTTCTCCCTTGGAGCTGCTGGGGGTTTTGAACTGCCAACCATGTGGATTGCAGCTCAACGTGTAACCACTACACAACCAGAACGCCTCAAGTTTCACTAAAGGCCTCATGAATTTTCCTCTGCAGGAGTTATGGGATCAGACGCAAGATGTGTGGGTTTAAGGATATGAGCTATAAAAGGTGCCTCCTAGGTTTGTGGTTAGACGAATTGAATGTGTGGTGATGCCATATCTTGAGGTGAGACAAAAGTAGTAGAGAGAGATACAGGTGGTAGAGATGGGAAAGTGACTTTTGTTTCCGTTTCCGGTGGCTGACCTAACAAACTGCCACAAACTCGATGGCCTCAAACAGCACGGATGTGTTCGATCTGTGTTGGAGGCCAGAAACTCAACATCTGCATTACTGGACTAAAATTAAAATTGCAGTAGCCCTGTACTTCTTTGGAGGCTGTCAGAAAGAATCCAGTCCCTGCTCATTCCGACTTCTGATGGCTCCAGCCATTCCTTGACTGGCGGTCTCAGCACTGCAATCACTGCGTCCTTGGTCACGTAGCCTTCTCTTCAGCATGTGCCAGTTGTCCCTCTGCCTCTTCCTTATAAAGAAAAGTATGATTGGATGTAAGGCCCACCTGGATAATCAGAGCACGCTTCACAAGTCAAAACGCTTCACTTCATTACTGCCACAAAGATTCTTCTCAATGATAGCATTTAAAGGTTTCCAGCATTGTGGCCTGCTATCCTGGGTTGAAAAAGGAGCCCTGATTGTGTAATGGGTTATATAGATGTTGGGATGCTAATCACAATATCAGCAGTTCGAAATCACCAGCCTCTTCACCAATGAAAGATGAGGCTTTTCACTCCCATAAAGAGGTACAGTCTCAGAAGCCAGGGGGGCAGGTCTACTCGGTCCTGTAGGGTCTCTGAGTCAGACGGACTCAATGGCGGGGAGTGTGATTGTTGGCTGGCCACTATTCAGCCTACCACAGACAGGTTAGCTTCGAGATTCCTGTTATATGTCCAAGTAGAGATTGGATAAGATTTATTGGTGGGTGATTGAGAATTGGGACAATAATGAGGAAAAAAAAAACTGTTTCCAAGCTTCCATATAGAACAATGAATTTCCCCCTTGTGATTAATGAATTCTAAACAGCAGGAAAAAATGAAAATAGTGGAAAACTAGAGCCAATTGAAAATCTGAAGGTCGTTTAAATTGTGTTTATTTAATAATGAATAAATGCATATTGCATTTCAGAGTAAGTTAGTAGAGGCCAGGGACTAGGTCAGATAAACAAATTCTGATCTACGGGAATAAGAAATAATACTAATTGGCATTAAAAGTCAAGGTAAGCACAGATAAAAGAATCATAATGAGATGTATCTTACTTTCAGATTTCCATGTGCTATTTATTATTTTACCAGACAAGTCTGAATTTCAGAATTGAGATAATTACATCTAAGGAACAAAGTCTTACCAAAGACAGCACTACCTTTGAGAGTCAAAGAACTTGTGTTCTGAAATGTAAGGTGCTTAACCTTTATCTGGGAAAGCGTTTTTCGTTATTAATGTTTGGAATCGTGAAACGAAGCCCCGACAGTTCTGTGGTTGGTAAGCCGTGGGTTCAACAGAGATGGACGTGGTGACACCGCGAGTCACGGCATATCTGGAGCCATCAGCCGTTGGATAAGCAGGGACTGGATACTTCCTCACGGTCTCCACACCAACCTGGCTGTGCGGCAGAGAGCCCGATTCTAGCACGACTTAGTCAAGGTGTTTTGTGTCGTCATAATGATCAAGTCAGAATTCCAGAGAGAGAACTATGCTTCTATTTGTGATCCAAAAGCGGGGTGGTTTTATTGCTTGTGTAATTGGTTAAGTACGAAATAGATTTCTAACTAATTTATTAATCAATTCAATAGGACACTTCTTTTACTGGAAGGAAAGAACAAAGGCTATGTCTTTAAATCCTTGTAGATCAAGTAGTCGATATAGTGCTTACCAGGGACGGTTGAGAAATTCTGGAGTTTCTCATCCCTCAGGGCGTACAAAACAAAAGTAGAATTTCTTACAGTTGAATTTCTATGCTCTGATTTCCACTTGAGTTTCTTCTCTTTTTTTCTTTCTGTCAAAAAAAGATACGCTGTTTTTGCTCTCAGAAAAGTATCGTTTGCTTACATGATTACTTGCAATACTCTTCTTACGGGTTATATCAAATATTTTATAGTGGGCTTAAAAAAACATGAACTCTAACTCTAAATTAGACCTTTTGGTATTCCTGACCTTATTAGCACTTGGGACAGTCCATTTGAAAAGGTCTTATGCTGCTGACATATCGTTAAAACTTCTAAGCAATAAAGAATGCATAGCATTTGAATATTAATAGTTTGTGATCGTTTCTAAAACAACCAAAAAATGTGTGAGTCTGAGAAAGTAAAAACTGTTGAATTCCCGTACAGCAAGCTGCCAACTAGAAATACCATCATTGGCTGGACACGTTGGCGGGCGGACGTGATGGGCTCTGTAGCACGGAAATCTGAAGAGCAGTGGTCCTGTGTGCGCTGCACGCTAATCAATAAACCTTCTTCTAAAGCGTGTGATGCTTGCTTGACCTTAAGGCCTGCTGGTAAGACTGAATCTTGTTTTTGAATTCCTTCCACTTCAAAGAGGGTTAATTGTACGAAGCCAGCCACCTATATGCTCCATCCTGACAGCCAACTAAGTAACACACTTACTTTGAAGAAATTGCCATCCTCTGCATGTAAACCATGCTCATGCTTTGTTGAGGACTTTTTTTAACGGGGAGGGAAAACATGCTTGTGCTAAAACAGTATGCGCCTTTGTATCTCAAAAAACTGAGATGATCACATCTGTTCTCTACTGTTTCTAATGAATTATTCAATAAAGCTTTGTTTTATGCAGATTTCAGCAACTTTCAAGTTTGTTATTCAGTCCAAGTGTTTCATAAATTGGAAGGGAGGATTTCTGTAAGAATATCTTTGCAGGTGGAATAGAAAAATGCTGAATTTTTTCTCTTCTTTATCCTCTCTACCCCTTGTTATTAAAATCTTTACCCAGACAATTGTACTGATTTCATTGAAATCCTTCAAAATAACTCTTTATAGCTCACAATTTCATGCGTTCAGAGAATGTAAAACCTCAGAGGAAACCTGTGATTAAGAACCATCTCATTGATGCGGTTTCTATTGTATTCTCAAAGTGTTATTTCTTTCTTCAATTAGAGATGAGAAAGTTCATTCTTGACTTATGGACCCATGTATTGTGTGAGCTGTCATCTTGTGTTTTGTTCCCTGGGCCAGGAAGGCGGGCATCACCCCTTGCACAGCTTTGCTGGTAGCAGAAAGGATGGCACCTGCTATTCTATCCCTCCTCCCGCTCCAATATCTTTCAGCAGAGACAGCCCTTGGAAGGAAAACCACAACCTTGGGCTTTTACCTTAATTTCAACACTCTCAAATGTCTTTGCACATCTTATTTAATCTTTTTTCATAATCTTTTTTTCTGTCTATGAACGACTTTGCAATTATAATTTAGAATATAGTATAATACAGATACCCAAATTTTATAATACTTGGTTAAGGCTTTATATTTAATAAATGTTGTCCTTGTAATTTATCTTTGCAGATATAAGCCTCTGATTGCCAACCTAAATGTTTTTTCTGTGGTATCATCTCTTAATCACCACTGTTTTAATATGTTGTCTTATGTTAGCAAAACCAATAAAGGAATAATCCTTAAATACTTAGACGTAATGCAAAGCAAATATAAATCTTCATTAAACCCATCTCTGGACCCCTGTAAATTCCTACAGGAAGGTGATTAATTCTGAACTCCCCTAGCTAACTTGGCATAGTGTAATAAGTGAAATAAATGTGTTAAATAAAAAGATGTTCTAAACAGCCAATACATTATATTTACAAGGCTATTCAGAATTGCTTTTCTCTCCTTTCAGATTCAGTTCCTAAGAATGAAGAAAATTCTATTGCCTTTAACAGCCTAGTGAAGTATCCTTGTAATAACTTTGGAAAACCAAGCACAGAAGTGAAGATCAACAGGAAAACGGCCTTTGGAACCACCACCCTGGTCTTGACCGATTGGAGCAGTAAATCCAGTACTTTGAAAGGAAAGAAAAGCCCAAACCAGATAATAGATGGGGAATTTCATAACTCTTCTCCCTCTAATGTTTGTTTTATGGGTACACGGTACCCCTCGAACGAGACCACAGACTATATAACTCAACTATCCAACAAAGAAAACCGATCACCTGTGGGCAGCTCTCAGTCTAAATTATTTAGTCCAGTACATAAAAAATTGAAAACAACCCACTCTTCACCGGATCTCAAAAGTTGTGTGCCTGGCTTGTCAAACAGGTATGGTATCTCTAACCTCGGTCTTTAAGGTATTTACCTTACATTTTAAGAAGAGGGTAAAAATCACCTGTCATTAATTAGGAATTTGAATTGATCTTTATAATGCATATCAAACCTCAAAAGACTGATTATTATAGTGCCTTTGCCTCCTTCCCTTCCCCAAAACAAATTCCTATAAAAAGCGATTTTTTCCTTACTATAGCCATATATATGCTCAATACATAATATTTTGAAATGATCCAAAAGTACAAAGAAATATAAAGATAAAATTTAAATATCCAGTAATCATACTAATGATCAATAACCACTGTTAGGATTGTTTTGTTTCCTTCCAATTAAAAATTATTCTTCCAAAAAGACAACTGTCGTTCATGAAGGTAAGTACGACTCCCTCTCTCCTGAAGAGGATGGTGCCCGTGATTAACAGTGTCGAGCGCTGACCTAACTGTTGGTGATTCCGAGTCCACCGTAGGCACCAGGGAAGACAGACTATGGTTCTCCTTCTGGAAAAAAAAAAAAAAATCAGCTATTTAAACCCACAAGGAGCAGTGAGGCTGTGACCCACTGGCGTAACCATGAGTTAGAATCTACTCAGTGGCAGCTGATTATCCTCGAGAGGGATCTGAAGGACCTTAGTGGCACTAGTCACCTATGGAATGGTGTTTTCTATTTCAACTTGAAAGGCCCAAGGAGCACCCATGGTATGCATATGGAGAATTAAAACATTGCCTTCCCAATTAATAAACACTATCTGACCAGGTCCATTTTATGAGATATCTCAAGTGCTATATCAAGGAGAAGATCCTCAGGGGTTGCCACAGGAATGACAGAGATCTTCACGCCCTGCTCTGCGCCTGACAGACCGGTTGTCAGCTTCCGAACCAATCATCTGTGGACATCACTGTGCCACCCCACGCCGTGCACCCCTCGGCCCACTTGTTTGGGCTTACTATTTGGGCTTCATAAATGTCACCGCTTAATATTACACCATCAGAGAAAGACTATTTTCCCCACTGTTTCCTTTGCTGAGCTACTAGATTTTTTTGTGTAGTTGATTTTTCATTCCTTCAAAAGGCAGTGCTATGCAATCACCATTATTTAATGGAGTGTGTGAAGAAAGAGTCTACTTCCAATGCATGGATGTCTTTTTTTTGCCGGTGGGAATAGTTACTAAGAATGGTGTTTGCAGTAACCTCACCTGGAATCCGATGGCTTGTTCTTCCTCTGTCTGATGGGCCTCTCTCTGCCCGTAGTGAGAACCGCCCTCTAGCGGTAGACTGACAGGTAGCGCCTGTGCACGCCTAGACGGACCTGGGTTCCTCCAGCTTACTCCGGAACTGCTGGGTGGTTTCTCCCCAGGAGAGACATTTATCTCAAATTTCCCATCCTGACTCTAAATTACCCCTCTGCTCATCTTGATTACTTTTTACCCTTGATTGATTTAAATATATATATATATATTTGGTCATGATCATCTACAATCATGTGTATATTCTGAGATGATAGAGTTTTTAATTAAACTATGAGTGGCAAACTTTTGATTGACTAAGTGAATGTAGCCTTCACTAATGCCTCATGATGAAAGTTCTTGAAGGAGTTAAGAAAGTTAGAGTTGGAAAGCTAGCCTAGAGTAGAAAATCAGTTTTGAACAGCCTTGTGTATGTGTGTGTGTGTGTGTGTGTGTGTGTGTACAGGCTTACAAGTGATCATTTTAAAATATTGTGGCATTCATTTTACTCAGATGAAATATCTTAGCATATTTTTTATTTCCTTCGTGCTTTGTTGAAAATCTCAGACAATTTAACTAATGAATTAGGGATTTAAAAAAACATTAATGTAACCTTCAATTTAAATGATTTCTTCATAAGCCATTAGTGATGGACCATATGATTAATCACAGTGCACAACATTGCTTAGAAATGCTGCAGTGTGTGTATGTGTGGACTATACTCGCACCAGGATGGAGACTCTACAATCAATCAAGATCAACGAGCAGAATAAATGTCAAGTAATGAAATAAATTCACCCAGCAGCCCTTCTGCACCCAGCTACTTTACAAGGAATAAATTGCAAATTACTGTCATTTATTTCATTTTTCTCCATGTCTGGCAGCTATAGAGTTCATCTTCTGGACAAGATGCCTAGCAGAAGCTCCCAACATAACACCATTATAGCAGGTGCCCCATGTAGGAGATTTATAGCCAGTTTTTTAATAATTATATGGTAATTGATTTGACTTTTGTTCTCTAAATTACTGATCACACTGCCCAAAGATACGCCAGCCCTCCCTACTATCTGTTGATGGGGCATCTGTTAGGACTGGTCTTCAGATACTTGAGCTTTCTCCAGCTACTGGATTATAAAGGGGATGGCTGCACAGATTTCTCAGCAGTGAAGAGTCACAGTGCTGGAAACGGTTATGAGCCCTCGATAAAATGACTGTAGTCACTGAGCACAAAAATCAGTGATACCTTTTCAGAGAAGACATTTGTTTTATGTTGACATCCTTCTGGAATTTAAGAGAAGCGAAAGCAACAAAACTACTGACTGTCTTCGGTCAGTGGCCATTGAGGTGCTAAAAGTTCACGGAGAGGCATCGTTGACACCTTATAATTGCCGCTTTTTTGAATTTTCAGTCACTCTTGCAGATCCACTGAGACCATCCAGGATGAATTAATTTACCTTTGTTGATTTTGGCCCTTGAATTTTTGCTGGGATGTAAAAATCTTTATGTAAAAGCAATCGATGCAAAATTGTCAGGCAAAGTGTTTATTGTAATGAGTCACCCTGTTTGCCAAATAAATTAAATCCAAATAATCATTGAAAAATAATATTTATTTTAAAATATAAACCTGCCCTTGGTCACGTCTTCCTTCTTGACAGTACATTTTATTTGATCACTGTTGTATTGTTTTAAATTTGTTAATTTATAAGGATTTATTGAGAACCTACTGTGCTTCAAGCATTGTTCTTGGTTAGTAAACGAGCAATCAGCACCAAATCCAGCCGCATTAACACATCCATAGCCGTTCATTTATGTATTTATATGGCTTATTTTCATGCTTCAACAGAGTTAGTACTGGCAAGTTTAGACTTTTACTATCTGACAAAAGTACGTGAACCCTCCTATATTGGTTCACCATATAGAATCTAAGGACCTTCAAAATGATGGTCTTCATTATCAGTCTTTCAAACTCTTCTGTATACTAAATGTATTTAAGGAAAATCCTCTGCTACATTTTCAAAAGTTTTTGAGTAATGATTGAAACAAAGAGGAACCAAGATATCTTCAATTAATCAGGACATGTAAGTATCCTGGTTAATGTTTTCTATCATAAAATTAAGATTAGTTGTGCATATTTAGAAAGGATATGATCACAGGTGGCATCAATATCTTGGTTACATTAGCCACTCAGAGCTTTGTAATGTTAATGTGCATATGAATCATCTGGGAATCTAGTTAACATGCAGATTCTATTTCTGTAGGCAATCTGGTGGGTAATTCTATAGTTCTAACATGTTCCCTGGTGATTCTTATGTTTCTGGTCAGTGGATTACACTCTGAATGTCAAAGGGAAAATAACATAATAAGTTAATGATATAGTATCTTACCCTTGGTACTCAAGATACTGAGAGTGGCCAGAAATATCAATGTTTATACAAGAAAGCCAAGCGGAGAAGATAAAGGGATTTTCCCCACAAACTTTTTGAAGGCTCCCTTGTGTAACTCTATCAAGAGAGAGAAAACAAGTATTGGTGGCATGGTGGGTAGCCACTGAAGTGTGAACCAAAAGATGGGGTTCTAACCCACCATCCCTTTTACAGGAGAAAAGGCCAGGTGAAAGATGACAGCCAAGGACAAGCCTATTCTGTTGTACACGTGCCGTGTCACTCTGAGTCAGAACTGACTCAATGGCGCACACAAATATACGAGGTGGCGTGAAAAAAAAAAGTCCAATGAAAGCCAAAAAAGAAAGCAAGCTATCTTTTACATAGAAGTCAAAGATAATGGAACTTTCCCATAAGCTTATTGTATCTCCCTCAGATACTTTGTTTTGTTCTAACCCAGGGGTGAGATGGAATGGAGGAAAGAAAGGAGGAAACAGGGAAGGCACTGGGCGTTTCTTTTCCACGTGAATCCTAAGCTACGCTAGAGATGCTTTAGGAGTAAGGGGAGCTCAACATTTCGCTGGATGTGTGGAGCCCTGGAAATCTCTATCTTGAAGCAGGTGGATTCAAAAATGACAGCAACCTCTAAAAAAATACATAAAATCATGCTTGCATGTGTGTGTGTGTGTGTGTGTGTGTGTGCTAAGAGTATCCATTTCGGTTAATGTCCTTTAATACCTGTTTTTAAATAAAATGAAACTCGGTGAGCCATTTACTTAACTTTGAAATCTTTCCCTGTCGTCACTCAATTAGGTTCTCTTGGGGTTAGTTGCCATCAAGTTGGCTCCATCTCATGGCAAACCCAAGTATGGCAGAATGGAATATTGCCAGTCCTGGGCCAAGGACAGATTTACTTTATATTGGGCTACTAGCCACAAGGTTGGTAGTTCAAACCTACCAGTCACTCCTCAGAAGAAAGATGATGCTTTCTACTCTCTGTGGCAGGGAGAGAGCCATGGTCTTGGTTATTGGTGTGCTCAAGCCCCTGGTGACTAATGTATTTGAGGGCCTTCTAGCCGAAGACCACCTTCCTCACTGTGTTGGACACAGTGACCCACAGGACTTTGATTTTGGAATTAGATCACCAGACTTTTCATCCTATGTGTCTTCGTCTGAAAGATTTGCTGAAACTGGCATACCATGGGTGGCCCTGCTGATCCTTGATGCCAGTGCTCCCGCTATCGTAGTAACATGTAAAGCTACCATAGTGCAACAGCCTGGCAGACGGATAATGGTCTCTTGAAGTTAGTCTTATGGTAGAATAGAGAGAGGTTGTCTAAGGGAGAGATGGTCCTGGAAAAGAAAAGCCCATTGCCTCTCAGGTTCTCTATCTCTGGCTTGACATTTCTAACAGTTTAAAATATAAGCCACTGCAGCCCCATCTGGCTGGGAAAAGGGTACCAACCAAACAGTGGCTGGTGATATATTTCACTATTAAGAATTTCCTTAGCAATGCTTTCCTTTTATAAATGACTACCCATGGCCTCACAATATTTGAATCCATCATTTTTAAAGCCATGTATTTAAAATTTTGCTCTATTAGTGAATTGTTAAACTCATTTCAGCACAAATTAAAAAATCTTATATTCTGAACATTTCAATTGGTTATGATGCTCTCAGGCATCATTATGGGAACAAGTACATGAAAAATTAGTTTAGAAAGTAAGAAAAATATAAAATATGTGTTACTATCTTTAATTTTTGAGAATGCTACTTTGCTTCTTAGAGATTTCCCACTCAAAGGATAAACCTGTTTAATCATTGAAATTTTAAATATAGGCATATTAGCTAGACGTGATTTATTTAATATTCACATCTTTTCCATGAGTTCACAAATAGACAAACTGCTCTAGTAACGGTATTTAAATATATGAAATATTACAAATTAAATATACAAAGAAGGTTTTTTCTTTGTTTCTTCTTTCCCCAAAGAGAAAATCCAGCTTCTACAGCTGTGGCGGAAGAGCAGCCCCTGGCCTTTGCACACTGTATATAACAATGACCTCCAGCTACTCTTAATCCGAGTCGTGGGCCAGAATAAAGCTTCCCTCCTAGCTTTACAAAACACACATTTCTGCTCTGGCAGCCAGCCTGGATCTGGCTGAAATATGATTGCTACTATTATAGTGGCCTTGATCAAAGAAAAGCATAGAAGATTGTCTTTAAAGTGGACAGGAGAAAGTGTCAGGGCCGTTGATGAGAGCTTACTACCTGTGAGACAATAATTAGAGAAGATTGTGGCTCTAGTCACATTTGGAGGGCAGCTGGATTTGAAAATGGTTTCAAAGAACTAAAAGTGACCACAGCGTGCTGTTGATCAGGAGACGACCTGACTCTCTCAAATGAAGACTAGTGCCATGGCAACCACTTGATGTACTGGATGGACAACCCAGTTGTTTTTATTCTTTAGAGTTTTACATGATGTGCTTTAGGCATATAGGATTTGTTGCAAGTAAGTTAGAATTACCTGGGCAAAACAAATAATTCAAAGACCATAAAGCTTTGTGTGTCTGCCTAACGTTGACTGTGGTCCACTCTTTGCTCCAGTCTCCCTGTGTAACCAGAATTTTAATGTGTGTGTGTGTGTGGGGGGGGTGAACGTTCCCTGCGGCACTATTATGCAGTAGTTATTTTGTAACCTGTCATTACAGTGAACTTCCAATGAATGTGACAGATGGTCCTTGTGCATTAAACGCTGGCAGTCCTCGCTGCAGTAAACACAACCGCCTCTGCATTCTCCGCGTGGTGAGGAAGGATGGGGAAAACAAGGGCAGGCAGTTTTACGCCTGTCCGCTACCTAGAGAAGCACAATGTGGATTTTTTCAAGTATGTATAATATTTTTCAACCTTAAAAACTCACAATTGCCCAGTACATTCTGACTCGTAGCAACACTACAGAGCAGAGGAAACTGCCCCACGGGGTTTCCACAGCTGTGATCTTTATAGAATCGGAGGGCCAGGTCTTTCTCCGAAGGACAGGTGAGTGGGTTTGAACTGAAGACCTTTTGGTTAGCAGCTGCGTGCTTAACCAAATGTGCCACCTTATGACAGTGTCATTGAATTCTTTGGCTAAAACGGAACATATGGCATTTCTGTTTTCAGTTTGTACCTGTAAATTTTAAATTCCCATATTTTGATAGTCAGTCTAAAGCCTGAATGATTTACAATTCAAAGTGACTCCACTAAAATGAATGAATGGAAATGCCTCTGCTCAAATGTAGGTGTGCCACCTGGGTTTATAAAGATATTGAACCAAGGTATCCATTTGGTTAATAATTCCAGAGAAGACCTAGTTTTTTCTGGTATCAATACAACATCCAAGCCCTCCATCCATGTATTGAATAGAAGAGGAAAATAATCGACGTCTCTCAGACTTACAATAAACATCGTGAGCCCTATTACCTATGTCTGATATAAAGAAAAGAAATGGCACAGTAGCAATTCATTACAGGCAATTCCTCATGCCTTCACAACATGTGGTTATATTCTTGAAAATGAATGTGGCAAATGTGGGTCCATTTAATCAGCTTCCCGTATTTCTCGCGGTCGAATGTCAGTATGTATATATATATATCTATATCTATATTACATACATATATATATATATAATCTCCAATGATCCAATGCTGGAGCAAAATTTTCTAGTTAGGCTTATTGAGAGATAAAATATTGTTAAGATGGTGCTTTTTTAAGGAATTTCCTTGGGAAAATTAGATGATGGTTTTAGATCTTAACCCTTGCACAAGTGGTGAGTCCACCCTACTGAGTTCACCAGTTTAGATGTAATGGAAATTGTGTTAACAGCAATATTGATACTCATAGCCTGCTACATATCCCTCCTTTGGCCCAAATTAATAAGAATAATGCAATAGCATCTGCCCAATTTGATCTGGATAAGTCTATATTGGATTATTTATTTCCCTAAGAGACAAAGGGAGCTTTGTAATAAGGTCATGGCACATCTTTGTTCTTCCAGTGTTAACTAAAACATAGTTACAGCGGGGGCTCTAGGGATTGCATTACATCAGAGTTCCGGTAGTTTCCAATCATTCTAAGTGAAGTGAAGGAACTTGTATACCTATGCTTGGAAGACAAAAGGAAGCACACAATTAGGGTAATTTTCTATGTGATTCAAACAGATTGGTAAAGAATGCTTACAGAATATAGGCTTTTTTTTAAGGGCAGCAGCTAATGTTTATGTCTATTTTACAATGTCAAATTAATAGTCACAGCAATGAAGACAGTATGGCATGAATCAAATGAGCCTGGGCTCAGCTTATACCTCGTTCTAACTTGCATAGAAGGTTTACCATCTTGTCTTCTTGCTTTCCTCCCTAGTGGGCAGATTTGTCCTTCCCGTTCTGCAGCCACGGAAAGCGGTCCATCATGAGAACAGTGCTGAAGATGGGACCTAATAATGGAAGGAATTTTTTTGTGTGTCCTCTTGGGAAGGAAAAACAGTGTAATTTTTTTCAGTGGGCAGAAAATGGGCCAGGAATAAAAATTACTCCAGGGTGCTGATATACTTTTTTGGTTCTATAAAATATCTGGCATTTAATCTTTTTTAGTCTGTGTATATTATTTAGTCCCTTTTCATTTGAGAGAAATGTTATAGAATACATATAGTTGATTGTGATCTTACTGCAATCTTTGAGAATCTTTTTCTTTTTTTATGCCTGCCATCCTTTCAGTTTTGATCTCCATTATCCTTTTAATCTCGATGAATGTTATGTGGGTTTCATCAATTGTATAGCATATTCTACTTAGAACGTATAGTTTATGCATATAACAATGGTAATAAAGTTATTTCTAATATGCTTTTAATTGCTTGGTTTTCAGGGGAAGCAGGGTTTTCATTTGTTTGTTTTTTGGGTCTGTGGTTTTTTTTTTAGAGGATTAAAGAAATGATGAAGTCATATTCTGTCTGATCCATGAATGGTAAAAACAGCTACCCTTCCACTTGCCTAAAGGTTGGCAGTTCAGAAACATCCGGCAGTGCAGCAAGGAAGAAGCCTGGGCACTGCCTCCGTACGGCCTTCCATGCAGAACGCCTTGCGGAGCGGATCTGCTCTGTCACGGTGGGTCAGCGGGAGTTGGAATCAACCCAACGGCAAAAGATCATTCTGTCTATAATGAATACTTTTCTAAAGTAATGCCATGGTTCTTTTAATTTATGACCAAAGGTATTTCTTATTTTCTTAAAAGAAATTTAACAATGAGAGCATTTTAAAGAATTCCTGATGAGTGGCAGGCATAGGCACGCTAAGCATTTGTGTAACTTCAAGTACATGCTGGTGGACAGCTCCAGGGAGTTGGACTATAACGGTAACATTTAGGAACAACTGTTGTACATATTGCTCTGGTGGGATAGTGTTATGCTTTGGCCTGGTAACTCCAAGGTCAGCAGTTCAAAACTACCAGTTACTCCTCTGGAGAAAGACAGGGCTTTCTACTCCTGTAAACAGGTACAGTCGCGAGAGTTCACCTGTCCAGGTCTGCCTTGTGTTTTAGGGTTGCTGTGAGTTGGGAAGGACTCGGGCAGCGAGCATGCTTCTGGAGCTATACCTATATGGACATATATGTGTGTGATCTATGATGGTCTGTAGCCACGTCACACAAAATACAGCAAACTTGCCAGTGAATGTGTATTGACGTATACTATAAAACTCACAACTATATGTGTTATTAATAATTTGTCCTCATAAAGTAGTTCAAGGATCAATTATGAATTCTCTGTAGAAAATTTCAGTGAAGAAATAGATGTTTTTTAAAAAGGCAGGGAGTGAAAAATATAGAACTGAAAAATAATCAAAATTAAATTTAAAAACGTGCTAGTCTCTCAATAGCAGTATAGATGTGGCAGAGAATTACTCAATGTGAAAACGTCCCAAAATTGATTCCTTCTGAATAATGATGAAATTACACTGGTAAAAGGTTAATTAAATGAGTGGAGTGTAGTCCCAAAGCCCATCTGTAG